TCGATTTTTGTTTCATATCACATTTCATTGTACATTATAGGTTCATTTCACAGTAGTTTAGATTTATATTTCATATTCTTTTATTTCACTTTATTTTCTTTCTTTCTTTAAACAAATTTTATCTTGTTGTCTTTTTCTTTTAAATTTTCATTTCTTTCTGTTCCCACCTAGTTTAGATAATAAATAGTAAATAATAACATGACTATACTCAACACTTTAAACTCACTAGTGCACAAAAGGCCTTTAACATCACCCTTTAGACGTCCGACCTCCAAATATCCAACGTAAAAAATGACCGATGACATTTTCTGTAAATAAAACAACCATATAGACGTCTGTTCTGGAGGGAACAAACGTCTAAAACCATATAGACGTCTGTTCTGGAGGGAACAGACGTCTAAAACCATATAGACGTCTGATGTGGGGAACCGACTTCTATATACTCATTTTTGAAATCTAAAAAGTCACTTTTTGACTCCATTTAGACGTCAGATCCCGCCAATCCGACTTCTACAGCCATATAGACGTTCGATGTGGGGGGAACCGACTTTTATATACTCATTTTTGAAATCTAAATAATCACTTTTTAACTCCATTTAGACGTCTGATCTCGCCAATTCGACTTCTACAGTCATATAGACGTCCGATGTGGGGGGACCGGTTTCTATATACTCATTTTTGAAATCTAAAAAGTCACCTTTTAACTCCATTTAGACGTCCGATCCCGCCAATCTGACTTTTACAGCCATATAGACATTCGATGTGGGGGAACCGACTTCTATATACTCATTTTGAAACCTAAAAAGTCACTTTTTAACTCCATTTAGACGTATGATCCCGCCAATCCGACTTCTACAGCCATATAGACGTCTGATGTGGGGGGAACTGAATTTTATATGGCTGCATTAAAACACTGCGAACGCGAGGTAGTAGTTACGCGCACTTAATGTTCATAATCTTCCTCGCGTTTGCTCTCTACGAGTTACGTTTTTCAGGTTCGTTTTCTCACTTTTGCACCATTTTAAATTAATTTTACTATGATTAAATCACTCTTTGATGCATTATCTTTTATTTGAACCGATAAAAATTCGTTTTCGTTGAGTTTTGGTGTAGTTTTGCTCGTGTCCTTGGGCGGCGTTCTTGGGCGGCGATTTCCTGCGTTTTGCACTCCTCCAATTCTCTCCACTACGTTTTTAAACATCCAATACAAAAAAAAACGTACAATACATTCTCTTCAACTAAAATATAAAGTTGTAAACTCGAATCACCATGAGCCAGGAGCAACCCGAGAGGCCTCAAGCAGAAAAAAGATCCAATCAAATACGACAACGTTTTAGATGTGTGATCTATAGTGTTAGACGTCTATATAGACGTCTGACCTGTATGGATCGGACGTCTATATAGACGTCTGACCTATTGGGTCAAATGTCTCATTAACGTCACCTATATAAACGTCTGACAGAAATCAGACGTTAAAAACCCAAAATTACAGACGTCTAAAGTCCTTTCTGCACTAGTGACTTGATTTAGCCAAGTCCAAGAATTGATATCTTGGTTGCCCTATGCAACATTAGTGAGGACCAATTTTGTTCTGTTTTAAGCGACTAAAAAACAATTTAAAACATTGCATAAAAGAAAAGAAGAGCACAATGTTAAACATGAGAGAGACGATGTCTAAATATGAGAGAAACTTGTGATACTATGTAAGAAAAAAAAATTTGAATGTATGTCGCATTTGAAATTTGAGATAAATATATATATATATATATATATATATATAATCATGCACAACAACATAATTACAGAAGATTTAATAATATAATTAAAAATTTTAATTAATTTAATTATAAAAGATTAATTACTAATTAACTTAATTTTAGAAAAATAATTTAGATTATATTTGAACAATACTTTAAATCTGGTTATTGACTTTAAAGATAACAATCAGACAATAGTTTATGTAATGATTAACCATGACACTAAGGTCGGAACAAACATAATATCATTTGTTTGCCATAGAGAAATAAAAATCATTGCGTCCGTCTTGTATTTGTATGATTTAAAAATAACGTTCTTATTGGATCATTGCTAAGTCTATGTTGTCTCGGAAGCTTGCTTGCCCAAGAAGTGAGCTTCCTATATCAGTAGTCTTTCATTCAAGCACTGCAACTGAAATCTATAACTGCAACACAAAATATTGTATATGTTGTACGTTAGAAAAAGGGAGCAGTCAAGACAAGATTTTTGGAGACAGAAAAATACATTTGTTAGAAGGTTGTGCAGTACAGATATAATATTATCTCTTACCTAAAAAGTTAATTCGTAAGCTTCCGTTTTTGGTAGTTTATCATCCTAGAGAGTTAAATGTTGGATCCGTTGCTACACCAAGGTGAAGCCAAAACTTAATTTAAGATCATGCATTTCACATTTATACGTTAACTTTATAAAACATTGATTATTCCGAGTACAATCTATAATGACAAGATTATTATGAGATTAATATATTATGGTGAAATTTAGAATTCGTCTTTTGCTCTAAGTGAAATTTCTTGCCAGTGTCTGTCCCCACTAAATCAAAAGAGCCGAAAATGAGAATTATTCGATCTTTAACTCTTATGTTGTGACGGCTCTTCGATCACGGAGAGTACAAAAATTAATTAAGCATCAAAGAATTAATAACTATTTCCGTAAATAAACGAAGATTTTAGTCCTTAATTATGTAAATACGTATTGATTTAGCTTTTATGAGAATAACTTTTGTATGTAAAAAGAATAATGGTTATATCATGTCCAAGTTTATATGATCATTTTATTATTAAATTAAATTAAATTGCAATGTTTAAGGATCTCTATGGTATTAGATAATGTAAGACTTAGAGTTAAATTATATAAGACGTGGTTTTTATTTTTATAATTTAAAAGCTAAATCAAGTTTTATTTTTATATCTTTAAGAACTAAATTACTAATAACTTATAAAGTGGGATACAAGATCATTTGCACTGTTTTTTTATGACGTGGTGGGGTAGTAAATACTACAAAATGTTGACAATTTGATATTGCCAAAATTGTCAGCAATTCATTATGCCACCTTGTTTAATTATGATAATTTAATTGATTATGATTGATGTAATATGTATACTTTTTTAGAAAAATATATTTCCCTATTCTCCGATAATAATAAATATCTCGCATTATTCACTTAATAGTAGCAAATATAAATCCCCTGCATTAAAACGTTTTTAAAAAAAAATATAAGAAGCCTTGCTTAAGACGGAAAGTGAGATAGGGAAAACTATACTTTTTAATTTTTAGAAATGGACAACATGAATTTATAAATAGCGATATAAGAGGCCTTTGTAATTTTTTTTATAAATTTAATTTTTCTATAGCTTACTTAAAGTATACTTAATAAGGATATTTGGAAAAAAAAATTTAGCTTTTAAATTTTCAAAATAATAATTAATTTTTTGACGAAATACTTATTAAATAACACTAGTATAGCCGAAGAATACAATACAAAAGTATCTATTGAAATTGTGACTGTTAAACTATATTTAAACAATTAGTAAGAAGTGGGAACAATAAAACGGAATTACTATAAAGCAGTAGAAATTTTATAATTCAAGGATTCAAAATGTAAATGAAGTAGTAAAAATGAAGTATTATTTCACTCTTTCTAAATAGAAGACATTAGAGATAAAATATTCTTTTAAAAATATGAATGTTAATTTCTATTTCATTTTCTACTTTAAATATTGACAATTAATGTTAATACATTCGGTTTCACATCCTTATCATTAATCAAAGTCGAAGTAGGCTAGCTTATTGAAGAAACATGGCTCTTCCAAAATTTTAAAAGATTCTTTAAAATTTTATAATCTGAAAAGTATTTTTTATTTAATTCCGTATGATTTATGTTTTCCGAAAAGAATTAGGACATACTTTTTTTATACCTATTAAGTATTTTATAAAATGATAAAAATAGTTTTTTCCTTTTTAGAAAAACTAAGGAATTTTGTTTTATTGAAGCTATTTCTTTTATTTATGTGAGTTTGAAGCTAATGATCATGAGAACATGAAAGGATATTGGTTTTAAAAGAAAAAATGGAGAAATGTTTTATGCTCTTAGTTTTAATTTAAATTGATGGCAAATAAGTTTATTATTTATTTACACATCCAAGGCCACGTGATTCTTGTTTCTATATCGGATGGCACGTAATTCAACTCCACGTGATTATTAATTGTGATAAATATTTTTATATTATTTCTTTCATCAATCACGCAAAATATGGACCCACAAACTTTTCGCACTGTGTTCAATATAAAGTCAAACTTTTGCCAATTGCCTGAGTTCGATTTTTAACAACAACCATTTTCAACCAAATAAGGTTTTATATGTTTTTAAATTAAAATATCTATTCAAATAATGAGTTTATAATGTAGTTCTCCTAATTTTCTGTCATCAGTATGTTTTCTTCTTCCTGTTTTGATTCACCATCTAAACAAAGCATAGATAAAAATAAATTAAATTTTAAAAGTGTTTGACTTGAAGAAAACAGAAAAGAAATAAGAAATTATTTATATGTTAATTAACAAATAATTGAATATCGTTTAATTTTGTGTAAGGTATAGGAATATCATTTGTAATTTTAGGTTGTCTATTATTTACTTTTCTTTTATGAGTTAATATTTGCATTTTTATAGAGTCTATTTTTTTTTTCATAGTTTTATAAAGTCTACTTATATTTTTGAATTATTTATTTATTTTATCTGTAGTAATTTCCTTCTTTAATTTTTTTATTATTTAGTATTCTACTTTTATATCATCTTTTCTTTACATTTTTTATTGTCTAACCTTTATATTCTTAATCATTTTTTCATTGTTTAATTTTTATATTTTAAAATTATTTTTTATTTTTTTACTTTTAATTTTTTAATATAATATAAAAAATAATGAAAATAAAATACTTCTAATGTAAGTTAAATGGCGTCACACCAGTTACATTTATTCATGCTTATAATTCACGAACGAAGGTGACAACGGAAGACAGAAACCAGAACTGAAGCTCCTCCACCGTTCGATACAACGTTCTGCGAAGCCACTCCCAAATCCAGATTCAGTTCACATTTCCTTTTCAACTAACACAAAAGGTTTCGCCAGAAATAAAAAGGTTTCCTGCTCTTCGCCGGTACTGATTTTTCCTCTTTTCACGATTTCTACTACTTCTCTTTCTCAGTTTTTGCTTCTGATTTTGATTCAAAATTCATAGTTTTCATTTGCAGATTTTTTTTAGCTCATGTTCTTCACTACTGAATGAACTCAGTAACTGCGTCCACTCGAAACCAGCTCTTGATTAGTTTTACAACTTCTTCAGAAAAAAAGAGTAACAAATATTAATTCTTTTGAATCCAAATTTACATATGCTGACTTTACTTGAAGGTTTTCATGCTGCCAGTTGAATGGTTGTTGTATCTAAATTAAAAAGGGATCTCTTGTCATCGAATCAATGAAGTTACTCGATTTATTTTATTGTATGTCGTCTAATTACGGACTTGGTGTTATCAGGTCGTGTGAATGTTTTCTTGCGTCAAATCCCAAAATTGAACTGCGATTTGTAGTGACTGAGATAATCTCCGGCACTTAGCCAAAAGAGGGAAGAAGAATGATTCCCTTGTCCAGCATCCTGGGGTACGAAAAGTGTGACAGATACTTAATTTTTAGTGGAGAATCTGCCCTTGGGGATGGTTTTCGAGCATTTTTGTATTTTCTTGGCCTTGCTTACTGCTTTATCGGATTGTCGGCTATAACCGCTCGCTTCTTTCAATCGATGGAAAATGTGGTCAAGCACACAAGGAAGGTAGTGGAGGTAGATCCTGTTACTAAAACTGAAACCATTAGACATGAAAAAGTTTGGAATTACACTGTTGCAGATATTAGCCTCTTGGCCTTTGGGACTAGCTTTCCCCAGATATCATTAGCCACCATTGATGCTATACAGAACATGGGGAAGCTCTATGCTGGAGGTTTGTTATCCAAAGCGTTTGTCCTGTTCCTTTCTTACCAAGGAATATTAAAATCAAGCTTGATTTATTTTTCGATTATCATCTTGGTGAATTTAAAATTTGGGGATTATATTTCAATAAGTAATAAATTTTTGCTATTATTTTTCATGTTTTTAATCCTATGTCTTTCTACTTTGACAGACAGTCCTTCTAAAGCTTAAATTGTATATCTAGTTTTAGACTATATAGAATACTGATTCGGTATATTTTGAAGTACTCTCTTCTTTCCCTTCTAATTCCCTGAAATTTCTAAACTAATGTTAATAGGCCAAGCAAATGATTTCTCATTATTTTCCTTGTTCACCTGTGGCTATTTTCCCTGTTCAAATTGCTAAATAAATGTTAATATACATATATATGTATGCATATATATGCGCATACATCCACACAATGACTAATAGATTGTTCTAATGAGTGACTTGGGTGCATACTGTGACTTTCTTCGTTTTGAATAATATTTGATGGTGCAGTATTTGTTTTATTATGAGCTTAAATTCTTTATGGAATTGCGTAGGGGCCTTAAACTGTTAATCAATAAAATAAAAGCTTTATAATTGCTGAATATTCAGGTTTGGGGCCCGGAACACTTGTTGGTTCTGCTGCATTTGATCTTTTCCCCATCCACGCCATTTGTGTAGTAGTTCCAAAAGCAGGAGAGCTGAAGAAGATTGCTGATCTAGGGGTATGGCTGGTGGAGCTGTTTTGGTCATTTTGGGCTTACATTTGGTTATACATAATTTTGGAGGTAACGTTCCAAAATTCTATAAATAGCCATTGTTTGCTTCCTTTTTATTTTCATTAACTTATTTCTGTTTGTTTAAGAACTCTGACCTGGCCTACATTCCTCGCTAAAAGACTTCTCACCATAGAAACTGTAGTTTAACCTGTGTAAAATTTAGAGAAAGATAGAGAGAAAAGTTCTTAGCCTTTTGCGCTTCCAAGAATGTTAGATGTGGTTCTTAGGTTTACATGCCCAATGTTTATAAGTGCATTTGCAACTGCATTTCCTAAGTTAGCACTTAATTACAATCATGTGTCCCAATCAGCAAGTCAAAATAATTATTACTTTTGATACTTAAGGTTAGATAAGTTTAAAAACAAAAGTATTTAAAAACAACACACTTCTTGTGGGAATAATCATCAAGAAAATGAATGTAGGTATGGACTCCAAACGTTGTGACTCTGTGGGAGGCCTTGTTGACAGTACTACAATATGGATTACTATTGATCCATGCTTATGCTCAAGATAAACGTTGGCCCTATATTTCTCTACCCATGTATGTGTTTCTATTTGCTTCTTTTTTATTATATTTAACTAAAAGGACTTAAAATTCATAATTCTCTTGAATTTTTCTAGTTTGATGCCTTGTTTTTCATTTAAAGTGCAAGAGATGAGAGGCCAGAGGATTGGGTACCAGAGGAGACTCCTTATTTTCAACAGGAAGTCTATCAGAAGATGAATTCCTCTGAGATAAAGCATGTTAGTGATGAAAATCGCAACACTGTTGATAGTTTTTCCATTCATTCAGAAAACCCCACTGGTAGTTCTCCCACCTAAATGTAGTAAAGTTTGGTTTGACTTATCAAAATCCTTTCTTCTCCTGAAGCAGCTTGTTCAGCATTAGAAACATCCTGAAATGTCATAGCCATCTTGTGTCCAAATTTTGTAATTTGCAGATCCATTGTGTGTCACAGTACCTCAAACAGATGATGAGGCTGAAATTTTGGACAAAGCTAAGGAAACAACGTTGGAGGATACCCACTTGCTTACAATTTGGAGACAGCAATTTGTGGATGCACTGAGGGTACTTTATTTTATGTTGCAAGTGTATCTTTAAGGTTAAATGGTGATGTCATTAAGAACCACAGCCTAGCCTTACTACATTATCAATTTGACATTGTTGAGATCTTGAGATCTTGAGATCTTATTCTAACATTGTTACCGAAGCTGTAACTAACTGATTCGGTCAATCAGGTAATTTCTATGATTTTTTGGATATGGGCCTCTTGTATTCTCTTGCGATAGTGCGATTGATATTCTCAGATATACCCACATAAATGTCACAACAAACACACTTTGTTTGACATAGTTAAGTTTAACCTTTATGTTCTAATGTGTTCTTCAATGAATGAATTATATGCTTGTTTTCTGTCAATAAATTCACTCTTTTTATTGAAAATCAATTGAATATAAAATTATTTCTAGCCCTGAAGCACAAAGAAAACAATAATAAGCAGGGGAAAAAAATGATGAATGACCCTCAAGGTTTTCAAAGAAAAGTTCAATTTGGAGATCATGCCTGCCTCCTGTCTTTATGTCACACTTTTATGTTTTTCCACCTGATAATTCCCGTAATTATGATTCCATCATCCTCCCATGTCGCTTTTCCAGATTCCTTGAATCATTTTATGATCCTGCACTATCAAATGACATGCAAAATTATAAAATGAAAATTCTTAAATAGTCAAGCTGCATATTAGTAGATATATCCTTATTGTTACTTTATGTAGTCATAAATTTTAGACATTATTTTAAACTTTGAACTTGATGCTGAAGTTAGGACTTGGATAAAATGATTATTAATGTATTGCAGAAAATATTGTGAACCTTAATGTACTAACAAATACTGCTTATGAAAATTTAGAACAATATATTATCAATATCTGAAGTCTGATCTCTGATTTCAACAGTTGAAGAACCCAGAAGCAAAAAAATTAAAAAATACGTATCTCCTCCTAGCTCGAATTTTCTGGCAATTGCTGCTTTTACCATGGAGATTTCTTTTTGCTTTTGTTCCTCCTTGCCAAATTGCTCATGGATGGATCTCCTTCATTTGCTCCCTGCTTTTCATCAGCGGGATAGCTTACATTGTGACTAAGATCACAGAACTTATAAGTTGTGTTACAGGTTTCTTTCTCACTCGATGATATTCCTGTTCTCTTCTCTGCAGATCATTATAGATCCAAAGTAGTCTTTACAATTCTCAGTTTTGCATTTCTAAGTTTTTTCCCTCTTTGACAGGAATAAATGGTTACGTGATAGCATTTACAGCCCTAGCCAGTGGAACCTCGTGGCCTGATCTAGTGGCAAGCAAGATTGCTGCTGAACGTCAAAAAACTGCTGATTCTGCAATTGCAAATATCACTTGCAGGTCATTGCGACATTCACCTCATTCTATCTTTAAGAATCGTTCACATGTCATCATTACATCATGAATTGCCTTAACACTTTTCTTGAATTTACATTAGTACTTATTCTTGGATGCTTTTGATATTTTACACTTTAGTAGTTTATAACTTGATTTCTCTAAAAGAATGTTATTATCTCAAGAGGTTCAACTCCTCATTCGTGTGATTATGTGTTTCTAGCATCTCATCAGATTTAAAACATAATTTGATTGATATTGATTATGTTTTTAGTACTGATATTGTGGAGCTGGCTTATGGAAGTTCATGAAATATGTGTGCATCATGTCATGCTATAGATGAAAATTGAAATGTTAATTGCAAAAAAAAAAAAAAGGTTATCTTAAAGGTGTCCTCTAATTCTTGAGGGTTATGAACATAGGTAGAGTTATTTTCTGAGAAAAACTTCGATCGAAGGCACCAACACATGTTTCTTAATTGACAAATGTCTATCTATGAATAAATCTTTTGAACATAACATATTTTTCCCATGAAGTTAATTTCATAAATTAAAAACCTTAGATATCCATTTTCATGACAATTAGAAATAACTCAGTATGTACAAGGAATAACCCAATAGAGCAGAGATCACAGTTATACATATTCTTTATTCACTTTGTCCTTGCAAAGCCTTCCGGATACTAGGAAATCTTGCATACTAATATAGTAATGCTTGTATTGCCTTCTAAATAATTAAAAAAAAATATATTTTCTTGGATTTCAGATTGAAAGTTTACTAGTTTGTTATATGTTTTTTCTCTTCTATTTTTACACCCATCTGAATCCTGTATTTATGAAGCATAGGTGAAATATCGTTTTCTTTTATGGCTAGCCAAATCTTTTTTGTATGAAGTTCCTCTATAAAGTTGGTCATTGACTTCGTTATTTATTCTTTTTGCAGCAACTCAGTGAATATATATGTTGGAATTGGTGTTCCATGGCTTATTGATACTTTGTACAACTTCATAGCATATCGAGAACCTCTCAGAATCCAAAGTGCAGGGGGATTAAGCTTTTCACTGATTGTTTTCTTTTGCACTTCTGTTGGGTGTATATCAGTTTTGGTTTTCAGGCGTATAATTTTTGGAGCAGAGCTAGGAGGGCCTAGGCTCTGGGCATGGATTACGTGTGCGTTCTTCATGTTGTTGTGGATTATCTTTGTTGTACTATCTTCACTCAAGGTTTCTGGATTCATTTAGAATTTCATATAAAAATATTGAGTCAACACCACATTGATATATAAAAGATGTGTGTGCCTTCGGAAATAGGTTTTGAATAAAAAATTTATACAAATGAGTCTTTAAAAACTTTGATCTTCCTGAATATGAATCTTTCCTTATCAAATATAAAGAAAATGTGGTCGTATTTTGAATATCAAATGCTTATAAAAAAATTATATCTTAGATAAATTTTTAAAGACTTTCAAATAAGGTCACGTTAGGCATTACTATAAATTTTGATATATCAGCTATATTGACATGTTAAAGCTCATTAATCATTTGAAAATTTACTAAAAAGAATACAAAACATGAGAAGATCATACCAAACTTATGATAAAAATTAAACATAAACAAATTATACTTATGAAAAATTAAAAATAAATGCATGGAGATAAAATATTAAACCACTTATATTGTTCATTATGAATCAAAGATAAATTAGTTAACTTAACAAGACAATGACTTTCTTCACGAAAAACATGAAAAACTCTTAATTGTATATTTTTACAAAAATTCAAGCATTGATGTCATCTCCTCTATGACTCAAATAAACCACTTGTTGATCCAAACAAACTAAAAATCCCCTCTAACCAAACCCTCTCAAAACCTTCCCTTCAAACATGCTCCAAAGCATAAATAACTCCTATAAACTTAACATAAATAAAAGTTTGCACAATCAATATTTATCTTGAGCCAATTAGCGAATACAACTTTCCATATTACATCCATAAATGAAATCACTGTATTCTTTCTAGTTTGAATATTGACAAATTTTAACACCAAAAATTTAGAGACAATATGATGAGGCCTGTAAAGAGATGAGGTCTAAAGAACCATTGGTCCACTCTTATTGGGAAAATACAGACCCTAGCAAATGGAAAGTTTATGTGAGGAGAAGGAAGAAAAGTGTAACATCCCAAAAATATAGTTAAATCTATATATCTAAGAGTCATCACATCATAATATTGTAGAACAGTTTCTGTAAAAAAAGTTAACTTACAGTTATCCACAAAATAACTATAAATTTAAACTTTACAAAAGTCTACCCTAGCTGCAAAACTATGTACATGACCGAGCGGTCTATACATAATATATTTATATGACCGAACGATCCTAGACTAAACCACTGGGTCCTCGTCGTCCAACGCCTGCTCCAGAGAACCCTCGCCTCCCTCTGCTCACACCCACAAGGTGATCATTGCAAATAAAGAATACCGAATGGGAAACATGAACAAGATAGAAAAGAAGGGTAAGCTAGAGTAATTTAATTGATTACACTAATAATGCAAATTAAACAAATACATAAGCATCTGTCAACCGAGCATTTCAAGCATACAATGACCGACAATACATTACAGGCAATGACCGAACACTTAACGTGACCATCTAGATTGTATGAATATGTAACTTGGGGCCATTCGTGCACCCGGGTGATGTAGTAACTGGATACCCTCAGCTGCCACCCGGGGTTAGTCCGTTATAACTCACCTACGACACCCTATAGGCTAGGACCTCCTGCTATTCTCACCACATGACCTACCCATCTCTACTTGAGACTTGGTAACCATTAGAATGTCAAGATGAACGCCAAGGATTTCACTGTCCATATTCATACTTTACCACCACCTTGATAACCAATTAGTGAGACATTCCTCCTTGGAATTCTCTTTCACATCCATATTACAATTATCATACCATACTTTCACTTTGACACCGTTATGATAATGCATACATAAGCCATCAAAGCAATTGGAACAATTAATTAAAATAACAAACTGGAATAAATATAAATATAGGTCGAACAAAAATTACCAAACACATATGAACAAGACCGAACACCCTGTGAATGTTGGAGACCGAACAGTCAATACTAGGTACATCTGAAGAAAGGGCCGAGCAATATTAATGACTGACAACTAGAGAATTCCGAGTACCACAACATGATCGAATACTACCACCAGGTCAAGTACTAAGTTAGACCGAACGCTTATGGCTTAGGCCGAACACCTATAGCTTAAGCCGAACACTTAGAGTTGATACCGAATACTAATATAAGACCGATTACTAAAATATCACAGAACGGTCATTAACAGGTAAGGCCCATCAGAGGCCGAACACAGTTAAGACCGAATACTATTACGAGATCGAACACTATGACTAAACCGAATACTATTACGAGACCGAACAATGGTGCAAGACTGAATACTAATGTAAGACCGAGGACTAAGGTTAGACCGAACCCTATAACAAGACCGAACACTACTAGGCGACCGAGTGCTAGTACAAGACCAAGCACTACTAAGAGACCAAGTGCTAGTACAAGACTGAGCACTACTAAGAGACCACCCACCCACCTAAGACCGAACGATCATGAACGGGTAAGACTCTAAAGGGACCGAACCTAGTTAATGATCGAGATGAACAGGCTAGACTTTACCAAAACTAAACATTTTTCCCAACTTCTAATCTTCCATACATGAATCATATATCAATTTACACCTATCCAACGGTACTTAAATCTTCCTAACATCATTCTAAAGAGTCTCATACCAGATTTCACTCCAAATTCTGCATAATCAACAACTCAATGACCTAAAATCTATCTTCCTACTTTTTACACATTTTAGAGGGACTTAAAGGTTCTAACAGATCCAATTACACTTTCTCAGACTCTCCTCACTGACCAAATTCACTTCCAACCCCAAACTCTCATTTTCACCTACCCACTTCCTCAAGATCAGAACAGGCTGAACACTTATGCAGAGAAACTCCAACCAGTTCACAGGTTCCAACATTTACAAATTCAACACAATTCAATCGAAAATTCAATTGACACACATGCAACCATCAAAACAGTAATTTCATACATAGAAAATCACAATTAAATTAACTAGCTTCCCTTACCTCTTAGCTGAACCGAACAACTTCTATCCTTTTAGAAAATTTGTTTCAACCTCAAGAAAATCCCAAGAGCACCTATGAACCACCGATTGGTGAAAGAAGACCAACCGTAGAACCAAAATGAAATCAGGAAAAGAAGAAGGAGAATACGGAACACATGCAAACTGGATTGTTCCTTGCATGCAGCAAAACCAAAAATCACTAAAACCGACGAACAAAACTTACCAGTTCTAAACACTAAACCAAACAGTGAAACAGGAAGCCCTTGACGCCATGATCACTTAGGTGCCTCCTGATCGTCAAACAGATGAGCTACCAGTGAGAATTTTTAGAGTGAAGGGAGAGGAATAGTAGAAAATAGTGTTTCAGGGAGATGGAAAGTATTTAGATAATGAACCGAGTGTTTGAAATTTCTTTTTATACTATTGGCTTATTTTAACACAAATTGCTCGGTCTCATTATTTTAATACATCTATCTACTCTTAACAGGCTATTTTCTTGGTTCTTACATTCTCCCAAACATAAAAAGTTTTCGTCCTTGAAAATTCGCTTATCAGATAGAAGGAACAACCTATTCTCATCACATTCTCTAGTACAACCACCTATTTTGACAAATATACTACTCCCCATAACCTGAATGACATGAAAACCTTGCCTTTGTGTTAAAATGCCCTAGTGATCAATAATGTAGATTTGGTCTAGCCATCATTCTCAAAACAAATCTGAATCTCTAAACCTCAATTAAGAATCTTTCCTTCACATAATCCATTCTATTGTGTCTGCCACAATACTAACCCCGCTTTTATCCTCTGCTAATCTTGAATTCAATTCAACTCTTGACTGGTATCTTTTACCTCCTCTTGCTTCTTTTAAGAACCACTATCCCACTGGCTTGATCAAAACAAATTCTGATTTTTCTACCAACTGTTAACACTCTTGATCACCCTTAATCCCCACCATTCTGATGCCTGCACATTGCTTTCCTGATCTTCATTCTTGAGTAACATAGTTTCCAACTATGCTATCGTATTACCAAACTAGAACTCTTATCCATTGTCGTGACAAAACCATCTTTAGCACTCCATCTTTTGTTCTTCAACTTGCCAACCCGGCCCATACTTGGATCTATATCCTTCTCAACTTAAAATCACTAGCTTGATCAATAATTATCCACCTTAAGATACCTCTCAAACTAGGATTTATCCAATCGCCCTAGCTGAACCACTTTGAGAAACTCACCAGTTATAGTGCTTCAACTATACTAATGAGTTCTCTTCACCACATTCTCTTTAGACAACTAGCCTTCACACTTTTTCAAGCAACTCTTATTCTATACCCTTATCAACCAACAACCTAAACCTTCTTGTTTGTTCCAACCACTACTAATGCTTATTCACCTCGAGACTGACGCTACAACTTGAAACCAAAACTCAGTTTCTCTTCTTCATCACATTGACCCACTTTCCTTGTTCAACGTCCTATAACACTTTATCATTTCAAAGTTGACACTACAGATTAAACTGTAGGCTCACTTGTCTTCTTTGCCTCTTACCAAATTTTTCCATATACTTTCACTTAGTACCTTTGAAGATCACCACACATTCTTAACTCAAAACAAACAACATTATCACTACCTTGTTAACGAAACTCGCTTTTCATAAACCATTAACCCAAGTTTAAGAAAGTGCTTCGGACATGCCACTTACTAATAAGAACTTGCCAACTAACATCCGATATGCTACTCTGATTCCATACTTCCTTACTCCTCTGTTTACCGGATACTCTCTTCACACTAATTGTAACCTGAAACGATCCCTCTTAAGAACCTCCTTCAAAACTGCTATGATCTAGTAAAAACCCTTAGAACTCTTCTCGTCCGCAATAACCTTATCATTTTATTTCCTCAACCTTGTTTCTATTTGTTATGATATTTATCCTATTTTATCATCATTATATTGTGTTAAGGGTTACCCTATTTATCATGATTATATTGTGTCTAGGATTACCCTATTTATCATGATTATATTGTGTCTAGGGTTACCCTATTTATCATGTACTTTTGTATCAATTTATTCTTATAAATAGAAGATTGTGAGAGGGATCAATCAAGCCCTCTAGAATTATTTTACAGTATGTGCATTGAGGACGTCCCCGACCTCGTCGTCCT